ACTTCCGCGGACCCATCCTGCCAGTGCACCGGAGGCGTCGCTTGACAAAGCATTCACGAAAGAGATCTCGAGGCATAAGGGGGTGGTGGTGGTGGTGGTGATGGTGGTGGTGGTGGTTGGTGGTGGTGGTGGTGGTGGTGGGAGTGGTGGTGGTGGGAGTGGTGGTGGTGGGAGTGGTGGTGGTGGTGGTGGTGAGGGTGGTGGTGGTGGTGGGAGTGGTGGTGGTGGTGGTTGTGATGGTGGTGGCGGTGGTGGTGGTGGTGGTGGTGGTGGGAGTGGTGGTGGTGGTGGGAGTGGTGGTGGTGGGAGTGGTGGTGGTGGTGGTGGTGGCGGCGGTGGTGGTGGTGGTGGGAGTGGTGGTGGTGGGAGTGGTGGTGGTGGGAGTGGTGGTGGTGGTGGTGGTGGTGAGGGTGGTGGTGGGGGTGGTGGTGGTGGTGGTGGGAGTGGTGGTGGTGGGAGTGGTGGTGGTGGTGGTGGGAGTGGTGGTGGTGGTGGTGGCGGTGGTGGTGGTGGTGGTAGTGATGGTGGTGGTGATGGTGGTGGTGGTGGTAGTGATGGTGGTGGTGGTGATGGTGGTGGACGTGGGAGTGGTGGTTGTGGTGGTGGTGGTGGAGGTGGTGGTGGTGGTGGTGGTAGTGATGGTGGTGGTGGTGATGGTGGTGGTGGTAGTGATGGTGGTGGTGGTAGTGGTGGTGGTGGTGATGGTGGTGGTAAAGTGTCTCCGTTCCACCCACTAGCCTCGAAGTCGAAACTTCCCCCCCGGCCATTCCGCAGCCGCCGTGGCGACTGGCGGCTCTTCTCGTCGTCGGCGGCGGCTGTTGTCGTCGTCGGCTGTTGTCGGCTGTTGTCGGCTGTTGTCGGCTGTTGTCGGCGGCTGTTGTCGGCGGCCTGTTGGCAATGGCGCGGAGGCAACTCACCCAAAGGCGACGAACTGGCGGTCCATCCAGGGAGTCGGCCCCAGGGTGACGTAGAACTGCGAGGAGTTGGAGTGGCGTCCGCGGTTGGCCATGCCCAGAACCCCTCTGCGCGAGTGGCTCACTGCGAAGCTCTCGTCTACAGGGGGAGAGGGGTGGTGGTGGTGGTGGTGGTGGGCGGGTGGTGGTGGTGGGGTGGTGGTGGTGGGGGGGTGGTGGTGGTGGTGGTGGGGTGGAGTGGGCGGGGGTGAAGCCATTTGCGACGTCGTAGTAACGTCGTGAATCACGTTAATATGATGTAAGATTTTCACGTGCCTCCGGGTACTGCAAGAGAGAGTTACGATTTCGGAAATTCGTCAAGTTAACAGAAGTCGTAACACTCATCTACAAAGTAGGAGTCAAATTACTGAATGCGTTACGATGATTTAGTAACGTCGTGAATCACGTTAATATGATGTAAGATTTTCACGTGACTCCGGGTACCGCTAGAGAGTTACGATTTCGGGAAGTCGTGAAGTTAACAGAAGTCGTAACACTCATCCACAAAGTAGGAGTCAAATTACTGAATGCGTTACGATGACCTAGTAATGTCGTGAATCACGTTAATATGATGTAAGATTTTCATGTGACTCTGGGTAACGCAAGAGGGAGTTACGATTTCGGGAAGTCGTGAAGTTAACAGAAGTCGTAACACTCATCTACAAAGTAGGAGTCTAACTACGGAATGCGTTACGATTACCTAGTAATGTTGTGAATGAGGTTAATATGATGTAAGATTTTCACGTGACTCCGGGTACTGCAAGAGAGAGTTACGATTTCGGGAATTCGTGAAGTTAACAGAAGTCGTAACACTCGTCTACAAAGTAGGAGTCTAACTACGGAATGCGTTACGATGATTTAGTAACGTCGTGAATCACGTTGACACGATGTAAGATTTTCACGTGACTCTGGGTACCGCAAGAGAGAGAGTTACGATTTCGGGAAGTCGTGAAGTTAACAGAAGTCGTAACGCTCATCTACAAAGTAGGAGTCTAATTACTGAATGCGTTACGATGACCTAGTAATGTCGTGAATCACGTCAATATGATGTAAGATTTTCACGTGACTCCGGGTACCGCAAGAGAAAGAGTTACGATTGGGAATTCGTGAAGTTAACAGAAGTCGTAACACTCATCCACAAAGTAGGAGTCTAACTACTGAATGCGTTACGATGATTTAGTAACGTCGTGAATCACGTTGACACGATTGTAAGATTTTCACGTGACTCTGGGTACCACAAGAGAGAGAGTTACGATTTCGGGAATTCGTCAAGTTAACAGAAGTCGTAACACTCATCTACAAAGTAGGAGTCTAACTACTGAATGCGTTACGATGACCTAGTAATGTCGTGAATCACGTTAATATGATGTAAGATTTTCACGTGACTCCGGGTACCGCTAGAGAGAGTTACGATTTCGGGAAGTCGTGAAGTTAACAGAAGTCGTAACACTCATCCACAAAGTAGGAGTCTAACTACGGAATGCGTTACGATGATTTAGTAACGTCGTGAATCACGTTAATACGATGTAAGATTTTCACGTGACTCTGGGTACCGCAAGAGAGAGAGTTACGATTTCGGGAATTCGTGAAGTTAACAGAAGTCGTAACACTCATCCACAAAGTAGGAGTCTAACTACTGAATGCGTTACGATGACCTAGTAATGTCGTGAATGAGGTTAATATGATGTAAGATTTTCACGTGCCTCCGGGTACTGCAAGAGAGAGTTACGATTTCGGAAATTCGTCAAGTTAACAGAAGTCGTAACACTCATCTACAAAGTAGGAGTCAAATTACTGAATGCGTTACGATGATTTAGTAACGTCGTGAATCACGTTAATATGATGTAAGATTTTCACGTGACTCTGGGTTCCGCAAGAGAGAGAGTTACGATTTCGGGAATTCGTCAAGTTAACAGAAGTCGTAACACTCATCCACAAAGTAGGAGTCTAATTACGGAATGCGTTACGATGACCTAGTAACGTCGTGAATCACGTTGACACGATGTAAGATTTTCACGTGACTCCGGGTACCGCTAGAGAGAGAGTTACGATTTCGGGAAGTCGTGAAGTTAACAGAAGTCGTAACACTCATCCACAAAGTAGGAGTCTAACTACGGAATGCGTTACGATGATTTAGTAACGTCGTGAATCACGTTAATACGATGTAAGATTTTCACGTGACTCTGGGTACCGCAAGAGAGAGAGTTACGATTTCGGGAAGTCGTGAAGTTAACAGAAGTCGTAACACTCATCCACAAAGTAGGAGTCTAATTACTGAATGCGTTACGATGATTTAGTATACGTCGTGAATCACGTTAATATGATGTAAGATTTTCACGTGACTCTGGGTACCGCAAGAGAGAGAGTTACGATTTCGGGAATTCGTGAAGTTAACAGAAGTCGTAACGCTCATCTACAAAGTAGGAGTCTAATTACGGAATGCGTTCCGATGATTTAGTAACGTCGTGAATCACGTTAATATGATGTAAGATTTTAATGTGACTCTGGGTACCGCAAGAGAGAGTTACGATTTCGGGAATTCGTCAAGTTAACAGAAGTCGTAACACTCGTCTACAAAGTAGGAGTCTAACTACGGAATGCGTTACGATGATTTAGTAACGTCGTGAATCACGTTAATATGATGTAAGATTTTCACGTGACTCCGGGTACCGCAAGAGAGAGAGTTACGATTTCGGGAAGTCGTGAAGTTAACAGAAGTCGTAACACTCATCTACAAAGTAGGAGTCTAATTACGGAATGCGTTACGACATCGTAGGACCGTCGCGAGTCGGATCTACGATAAGATGTTCACGTAACTCCGAGTAAGTAAGAGAGAGTTACGATTGTGGGCAAACGTAGAGTTAAGAGAAGTCTTTACATAGGTCTACAAAGTAGCAGGAGCCAGAGTGGACAACGTGTTAAGATGTTCTGGTGTATTTTTCGATTTAAAGCTTTCGTGACTGCAGGGATTCGTCTCATTGGTTCTGTCGGTAAAGTCACCACCACGTAGAAAGGAAACAATAAAATAGTAAAATAATAAAACGTAATAAAATAAAATTCTCACGACGTTTCGGCCACAACACAAGTGGCCTTCTTCAGGTGAAGGAACACTATACACTACACTACACACTACATTAAACACTACTACACTATACACTACACACTACACTATACACTACACTATGCACTACACTATACACTACACTATACACTACACATTACACTATACACTACACTATACACTACACACAACACTATACACTACTACACTACACTACACACTACACTATACACTACACTACACACTACACTATACACTATACACTACACTATACACTACACATTACACTATACACTACATTATACACTACACACAACACTATACATTACCACACAACACACTACACTACACTATACACTACACACTACACTATACACTACACTTTACACTATACACTACACTATACACTACACTATACATTACACTACACACTACACTATACACTACACTATACACTACACTATACATTACACTACACACTACACTATACACTACACTATACATTACACTACACACTATACTATACACTACTACACTACTACACTATACACTACACTACTACACCATACACTATACACTACACTATATGCTACACTACACACTACACTATACACTACACTATACACTACACTACTAAACACTATACACTACACACTACACTATACACTACACTACACTATACACTACACTATACACTACACTATACACTACACTATACACTATACACTACACTATACACTACACACAACACTATACACTACTACACAACACACTACACTATACACTACACTATACACTACACTACAATATACACTACTACACGATACACTACACTATACACTACTCTTTACACTATACACAACACTATACACTACGCTATACATTACACTACACACTACAAAAAACACTACACTATACACTACACTACACACTATACTATACACTACTACACTATACACTACTACACTATACACTACACTACTACACCATACACTATACACTACACTATACACTACACTATACACTACTACACTATACACTACGACACTAAACACTACACTATAGACTACACTATACACTACTATACACTACACTATAAACTACACTATACAGTACACTATATACTACACTATACACTGCACTATACACTACACTATACACTACACTATACACTACACTTTACACTATACACTACGCTATACACTACACTATACACTACATTATACACTACACTACACACTACACTATACACTACACTACACTATACACTACACACTACATTATACACTACTACACTATACACTACTACACTATACACTACACTACACCACTACACTATACACTACACTATACACAACATTATACACTATACACTACACTATACACTACACTATACACTACACTACTACACTATACACTACACTATACACTACACTATACACTACACTATACACTACACTATACACTATACTATATATAGTTTAATGTATAGCGAGGCAATCGACGTTTCGGCCCTCACCCTCAAACGTAGCCCCATAGATGGAGGTGCCTCCATTCCCTCGGCCTCCCGTGATGTCTGGTGGGGGGGTGGGGGTGACAGGGTGGGGGGTGACGTGGGTTGACTGCTGTGCCAGGCTAGGTGCATGAGGAGGAGGTCACGGGACACACCCAGCAGGCGCCATGGGTTGACTGCCGTGCCAGGCTAGGTGCATGAGGAGATCACGTGACAGACCCTGCAGGTGCCATGGGTTGACTGCCGTGCCAGGCTAGGTGCATGAGGAGATCACGTGACAGACCCAGCAGGAGCCATGGGTTGACTGCTGTGCCAGGCTAGGTGCAGGAGGAGGTCACGTGACAGACCCTGCAGGTGACGTGGTTCTGACTGAGTTCACTGGCAGTGACGCTCTGTGCTACGTGCACATTCCTTTCTTAGCTCCTCCCCCTGCTTTCACGACGTCATAACGGGTTTCCTGAACCCCTCCCCCCGCTTTCACGACGTCATAACGAGTTTCCTGAACCCCTCCCCCCGCTTTCACGACGTCATAACGAGTTTCCTTAACCCCTCCCCCCGCTTTCACGACGTCATAACGAGTTTCCTGAACCCCTCCCCCCCGCTTTCATGACGTCATAACGAGTTCCCTGAACCCCACCCCCACTTTCATGACGTCATAACGAGTTCCCTGAACCCCTCCCCCCGCTTTTACGACGTCATAACGAGTTTCCTGAACCCCTCCCCCCGCTTTCACGACGTCATAACGAGTTTCCTGAACCCTTCCCCCCCGCTTTCACGACGTCATAACGAGTTTCCTGAACCCTTCCCACCCGCTTTCACGACGTCATAACGAGTTTCCTGAACCCCGCCCCCCGCTTTCACGACGTCATAACGAGTTTCCTGAACCCCTCCCCGCTTTCACGACGTCATAACGAGTTTCCTGAACCCTTCCCCCCCGCTTTCACGACGTCATAACGAGTTTCCTGAACCCTTCCCCCCCGCTTTCACGACGTCATAACGAGTTTCCTGAACCCCTCCCCCCGCTTTCACGACGTCATAACGAGTTTCCTGAACCCCTCCCCCCGCTTTCATGACGTCATAACGAGTTCCCTGAACCCCACCCCCACTTTCATGACGTCATAACGAGTTCCCTGAACCCCTCCCCCCGCTTTCACGACGTCATAACGAGTTTCCTGAACCCCTCCCCCCGCTTTCACGACGTCATAACGAGTTTCCTTAACCCCTCCCCCCGCTTTCACGACGTCATAACGAGTTTCCTGAACCCCTCCCCCCGCTTTCATGACGTCATAACGAGTTCCCTGAACCCCACCCCCACTTTCATGACGTCATAACGAGTTCCCTGAACCCCTCCCCCCGCTTTTACGACGTCATAACGAGTTTCCTGAACCCCTCCCCCCGCTTTCACGACGTCATAACGAGTTTCCTGAACCCTTCCCCCCCGCTTTCACGACGTCATAACGAGTTTCCTGAACCCTTCCCACCCGCTTTCACGACGTCATAACGAGTTTCCTGAACCCCTCCCCCCGCTTTCACGACGTCATAACGAGTTTCCTGAACCCCTCCCCGCTTTCACGACGTCATAACGAGTTTCCTGAACCCTTCCCCCCCGCTTTCACGACGTCATAACGAGTTTCCTGAACCCTTCCCCCCCGCTTTCACGACGTCATAACGAGTTTCCTGAACCCCTCCCCCCGCTTTCACGACGTCATAACGAGTTTCCTGAACCCCTCCCCCCGCTTTCATGACGTCATAACGAGTTCCCTGAACCCCACCCCCACTTTCATGACGTCATAACGAGTTCCCTGAACCCCTCCCCCCGCTTTCACGACGTCATAACGAGTTTCCTGAACCCCTCCCCCCGCTTTCACGACGTCATAACGAGTTTCCTGAACCCTTCCCCCCCGCTTTCACGACGTCATAACGAGTTTCCTGAACCCTTCCCACCCGCTTTCACGACGTCATAACGAGTTTCCTGAACCCCTCCCCCCGCTTTCACGACGTCATAACGAGTTTCCTGAACCCCTCCCCGCTTTCACGACGTCATAACGATTTTCCTGAACCCTTCCCCCCCGCTTTCACGACGTCATAACGAGTTTCCTGAACCCTTCCCCCCCGCTTTCACGACGTCATAACGAGTTTCCTGAACCCTTCCCCCCCGCTTTCACGACGTCATAACGAGTTTTCTGAACCCCTCCCTCCGCTTTCACGACGTCACAATGCGTTTCCGGACCGCCCCTCCCCCCACCCTCCGCTTTCATGACGTCACAATGCGTTCCCTGCAAAGAGAGTTTCCGGGAAAGCATTATGACGTTATGAAAACGGGTGGGGGGGGGGCGGCTGTTGAGGGAACGCATTCTGACGTCATGAAAGTGGGGGCGGGGTTCAGGTAACTCGTTATGACGTCATGAAAGCGGGGAGGGGATCAGGGAACTCGTTATGACGTCATGAAAGCGGGGAGGGGTTCAGGGAACTCGTTATGACGTCATGAAAGCGGGGGCGAGGTTTCACTCTCTCACTCTCTCACACTCTTTCTTATCTCTCTCTCACTCTCTCCCTCTCACACTCAACAACAACAACCGCCATTCGCCACTAAGTGGTGGTGACGTCACCACGACGCTTGTGCCAGGCCATGTGCACCTTAAGGCCACGTGAAGTGTCGAACGCCCGCTGGCAGGAGGTCACGGGGCAGACCCAGGTGCCACGGGTCGACTGACTGAGATGACTGGCTGATGCACCACCTGTGCCCCCTACTGTGTCAACCTGCTGTGCTTTAGCCACCCGGCGCTCCGCTCGTTGTTGTGAGCGTCGCTCCTCCGCCCTCCGTTGTTATTGGAGGGCGACTGCCTCCAACTGCCCAGTAGCATCCTTCACGAGCCTCCTCCACAGAGGCCGATCTTGACACCGCTGGTACCAGTCATCGGCAAGTCCACTCAGCTCCACGTCCTCCTGTACCACGTCACTCCATCTCTTCTCTAGCCCGTGCCGCGCCCGTTTAGCCCCCTCGATCCAGCCGAACAAAAGCTGTTTCGGCATGCGGTGGCTGGGCATGTGGGCTACATGACCCAGCCAGCGCAACCTTGCCTGCCGGAGGAGCTCACCGATGGGACTTTGCCCAGATCTTTCAAGGATTTGTGAGCTCCTCACACAATCCAGCCTGGTCAAACCCAGCATGGATCGCAGGCAGGCCAGCCTAAATGTTTCCAATCAGCGAAGATGTTCCATTAGGGGGGGTCCACGTTTCGCAAGCGTAGAGAAGGGAGGGAATGACCGTGGCCGAGAAGACCCGAAGCTTAGTGCGGAGCGACAGACCAGGTAGCTTCCACACAGCATTACGCAACCGATGAAAAGATATTGCCGCTCGACTGATTCGGAGTGAGACCTCTGCTGTTAAACCAGAGCCGGTCATGAGCACACTGCCCAGGTATGGGAAACTCTCCACTCGCTCCACAACTGCCCCATCACCGATTGGGAGTTGTGGGGGTGGAGTGTCCGATGGTACAAAATACCCAGGCAGGTGCTTAGTTTTGGTGGGGCTGATGGTAAGGCCCATCCTCATAGTGGTACGCTCCAGTTTCAGCAGCAGCGCCTCCAACTCCTACTCTGAATGAGCAGCTATTACCAAATCATCGGCATACATAACGTGGTTGAGCAATAGGGAGCCATCCCTTGACCGCACCCGGGCATCGATCAGCCTCCCATTGTATCTGTACCAGATGGAAATTCCTCTGGTACAGCCATCAAAGGCTTCACGAACTACGTGGTCGAAAAAATGTTAAATAATGTGGGAGCCAGAGGACATCCCTATCGCACCCCAAGGTGTACAGGGAATGGCTCTGACTCCCGGCCACGTAGTTTTACCCGGGCTTGCTCACCATCATGAAGGTCCTTAATGATCGTGAGCAGAGGGTCAGGTACTCCAAAAGCACGAAGAACAACCCAGAGCCCAGGCCTACTGATGATATGATAGGCCTTGACCAGGTCAATAAAGCAGAGATGTACGTCTTTTTGGAATTCCCTACACCTCTGCTGTAGCAGACGGACAGAAAATATGGCATCTCTGCAGGACCGCCCTTTCCTGAAACCGCATTGGGGCTCCGTAAGCCTCTCCTCAGCGTGCCTGGCAAGGCGATGCTGAATAATCCTTGCCAGGACCTTTACCGGCACACTGAGGAATGAGATGCCCCTGTAGTTGTTACAGTCTGTGCGGTTCCCCTTCTTAAAGAGGGGGACCACCAGGGCATCCTTCCAATCCTGCGAAACCTGTCCAGTGGTCCAGATTGTTGTTATAATGTCATATAGGGCAGTCTGTGCACAAACGCCACCCTCCCTCAGCATTTCGCTTGGGAGATCATCTCTGCCCGCTGCCTTTCCTGGTCTCAGACTCTGGATCGCCCTCAGTACTTCCTCAACAGATGGCACCTCAGCCAGCCACTCACAGGGGGTGACTTCTTCCAATATTTGAGGCACCGCAGCCTCAGCAGGGTCATCCTCACTTTGTGCCACGATGTTTTCCTGGCTGAGGAATTTTCCCTCCCCCAGGACCTCACAGAAATGCTCAGCAAATCTGCAAACCTGTTCCTGGGCGTCGGAGATTGGATCACCCTTTTTTCCCTTAATTATGGTAATAGGTGTGGCTCTGCAGGTTACTTTTTTGATGGAGTTAAATAGAGATTTGTGATCACGGGCCACTGAGGCAGACTCCATCTCCTCAGCAACCCGCGACCACCACCCATCCTTGCAGCGCCTCACGGCTCTCCAAACCTCCGAGCGAAGGCTGCGGTAAGCCCCCTCATTCTCTGACGTGGGATTCTGTAGCTGATGAGAGTGGGCCTGTCGCTATTTCTCAACCATCCTGAACACCTCCTCTGTCAGCCAGGGTCTCTAGGGAGGTCTGGACCGCGTACCCAAAGCAGCCATTGCAGCTGCATGAGTCACAGTCCTAAACCTCGCCCATTTACCCTCGACATCAGGAGGAGTCGGGGACGATGCCAATCCCAGCTGCAAGCGATGATGAAATTCTCGCTTGCAACTTTCATCAGATAACTGAGACATGGCCACCTTAGGTTTGAATGGGGTCCTGGGTGTACACCCACCACCGGAGTGGAAGAATGGCAGGCGCATCTTACAGATGACTAGTCGATGGTCAGAGGGCAGATCAGCTCCACGGTAGGTCCTGGTGTCAAGGACATGGGCTCGCATCCGCTGGTCCGTCACTATGTAGTCCAGCAGATGTTCTTGCTTGGACCCGGCATGCATCCATGATGTTGTGTGGATGCGCCGATGCCGGAACAGCGTGTTGGTAATTACAAGCCCATGGGCTGCACAAAAATCTACCAGCCTCCTACCGTTGTTATTGAGCTGATCTGGCCCATGCCCTCCAATCACTCCAGACCAGGTGCCAGCATCATGACCAACTCGGGCATTGAAGTCACCCCACATGATGACTCTATCCCGAGGGGCCACTTTAGCCAGCACCTGTGACAGGAGGTCACTCACACACACTCACTCTCTCACTCTCTCACTATCACTCACTCACACTCTCTCTCACTCTCTTATCTCTCTCACTCTCTCTTACACTCCCTCACTCACACTCACTCTCACTCTCTCACACTCTCACTCACTCACTCTCACTCACTCACTCTCTCCCACTCTCTCTCACTCACACTCTCTCCCACTCTCTCACTCTCTCTCACTCACTCTCTCTCTCTCACGCTCTCACTCACACACTCTCACTCACACTCTCTCCCACCCTCTCACTCACACACTCGCTGTCACTCTCTCTCACTCACTCTCTCTCTCACTCACTTACTCTCCCACTATCTCACTCACATTCTCTCTCCCACTCTCTCACTCTCTCTCACTCACTCTCTCTCTCACGCTCTCACTCACACACTCTCTCTTACACTCTCTCCCACTCTCTCACTCTCTCACTCACTCACACACTCTCTCTCCCACTCTCTCACTCACACACTCGCTCTCACTCTCTCTCACAACACTCACTCTCCCACTCTCTCACTCACATTCTCTCTCCCACTCTCTCTCTCACTCACTCTCCCACTCTCTCACTCACATTTTCTCTCCCACTCTCTCTCTCACACTCTCACTCTCTCACTCTCACACTCTCTCCCACTCTCTCTCACTAACACGCTCTCTCCCACTCTCTCTCCCACTCTCTCACTCTCTCTCACACTCTCTCTCCCACTCTCACTCTCTCACTCACTCTCTCTCCCACTCTCACTCTCTCTCCCACTCACACTCTCACACACTCTCTCTCTCTCACTCTCTCTCTCTGTCTCTCCCACTCCCTCTCTCTCACTCTCTCTCTCACTCTCTCTCCCACTCTCCCACTCTCTCCCACTCTCTCTCCCACTCACTCTCTCTCTCACCTCCCGCCTGAATCCACCCGTTGGGCACGACGCGATGGACGAGCGACCCCTTGTACGACGGCCAACGTTCCGAGCCGTCGCCCGTGCACAGAGCTCTGAAGTTGTGGCAGGTCCTGGGGCACAGCTCTGTGAAGAGCTGCAGGCCGAGAGGCCACACGGGTCGGCCGGCCGGCCGGCCCCAGGGGGGAAATCGGCGCCGGTCAAAGGTCGTGAAGTCGATCCGACTGACGCGCTCACAGCGCTCGGACATTCACAGTGAGGCGTCGGTGTGTGTACGTGTGTGTGTGTGTACGTGTGTGTGTACGTGTGTGTGTGGGTGTGTGTACGTGTGTGTGTACGTGTGTGGGTGTGTACGTGTGTGGGTGTGTGTGTGTGTGTACGTGTGTGTGTATGTGTCTATGTGTATACGTGTGTGTGCTCGTGTGTACGTGTGTGTGTGCACGTGTGTACGTGTGTACGGTTGTTGTAGTATGTGTGTACGTGTGTGTATGTGTGTGAATGTGTGTGTACGTGTATTTTTCTTTTGTAACAGTAGGTGGCACAGGTGGTACATCAGCCAGTCATCTCAGTTATCTCAGTCAGTCGACCCGTGGCACCTGGGTCTGCCCCGTGACCGCCAGCGGGCGTTCGACACTTCACGTGGCCTCAACGTGCACATAGCCTGGCACAAGCGTCGTGGTGACGTCACCGCCACTTAGTGGCGAATAGCGGTTGTTGTTGTGTGTATATATGTGTGTACGTGTGTGTGTGTGTTAGTGTATAGAGCACTTGCCACCACAGTCTATCACAGGCTACATGGGGGATCTTTGTCCTTGTGTGTGAGTGTGTACAACACTTGCCCCTATAGTCTGTCAGAGGCTACACGGGTGGATCTTCATGTGTGTGGGGGTGTGTGTGTGGGATGTGTGTGGGGGTGTGTGTGGGGGTGTGTGGGGTGTTTAACTCGTGGTTTAGTGGTTATTAATTGAAGGTGGAGGGGTTACCAGCTCCTCGCACCCGTCCAGAGCCCCCGTATAGCCCCTGTGGTTGACACAGACGCCATGAAGGGAGGAGCCAATCGAAATTGGACCTCCCCCCACAGCACTGTCCACGACAGAGTTGCCCGTCCAGCACCGCGAGAAGGTAGGGGGTTGTTTTGCCGGCTCCAGTTTAACAGCAGAGATCTCACTCTGAATCAGTCGAGCGGCAATATCTATTCATCGGTTGCATAACGCTGTGTGGAAGCTACCTGGTCTGTCGCTCCGCCCAAAGCTTCAGGTCTTCTCGGCCACGGTCATTCCCTCCCTTCTCTATGCTTGCGAAACGTGGACCCCCCCTAATGGAACATCTTCGCCGGTTAGAAACATTTAGGCTGGCCTGCTTACGATCCATCCTGGGTTTAACCATACTGGATTGTGTGAGGAGCTCACAAATCCTTGAAAGATCTGGGCAAGGTCCCATCGGTGAGATCCTCCGAGCAGGCAAGGCTGCGATGGCTGGGTCATGTAGCCCGCATGCCTAGCCACCGCATGCCTAAACAGCTTTTGTTCGGCCGGATCGAGGGGGCTAAGCAGGCACGGCACAGGCTAGAGAAGAGATGGAGTGATGTGGTACAGGAGGACGTGGAGCTGAGTGGACTTGCCGATGACTGGTACCAGCGGTGTCAAGATCGGCCTCTGTGGAGGAGGCTCGTGAAGGACGCTGCTGGCCAGTTGGAGGCAGTCGCCCTCCAACAACAACGGAGGGCGGAGGAGCGACGCTCACAACAACGAGCGGAGCGCCGGGTGGCTAAAGCACAGCAGGTTGGCACAGTAGGGGGCACAGGTGGTGCATCAGCCAGTCATCTCAGTCAGTCGCCCCGTGGCACCTGGGTCTGCCCCGTGACCTCCTGCCAGCGGGCGTTCGACACTTCACGTGGCCTCAAGGTGCACATGGCCTGGCACAAGCGTCGTGGTGATGTCACCTCCACTTAGTGGCGGTTGTTGTTGTTGTTGGTGTGTGTGTGTGGGTGAGAGGGCAAACCTCGAAGAGAAGGCGTCCCGCCGGCTCGCCGTCGATGGCGAAGTCCATGAAGACGACGTCCATGAAGGCGAAGCGACTCTGGCGGATACAGGGGAAGACACGTGGCCCGGTGTGAACACGTGGGCGTGCGCGTACGTGCGTTCATCTCCTAGCCACCGTGATGATGGTGGTGGTGGTGGAACACACGACCTCCTGTGCACCAGGCGAGGTAGTCAACATCTCTTAGCCACCGCGTTAATGGTGGTGGTGGAACCCACGACCTCCTGTAGACCAGGCGAGGTAGTCAACATCTCCTAGCCACCGTGATGATGATGGTGATGGAACCCACGACCTCCTGTGCACCAGGCGAGGTAGTCAACATCTCCTAGCCACCGTGATGATGGTGGTGGTGGAACCCACGACCTCCTGTGCACCAGGCGAGGTAGTCAACATCTAGCCACCGTGATGATGGTGGTGGTGGTGGAACCCACGACCTCCTGTGCACCAGGCGAGGTAGTGAACATCTCCTAGCCACCGTGATGATGGTTGTGGTGGAACCCACGACCTCCTGTACACCAGGCGAGGTAGTCAACATCTCCTAGCCATCGTGATGATGAGGATAGTAGTGGAACCCACGACCTCCTGTACACCAGGCGAGGTAGTCAACATCTCCTAGCCACCGTGATGATGGTGGTGGTGGTGGAACCCACGACCTCCTGTAGACCAGGCGAGGTAGTCAACATCTCCTAACTACCGTGATGGTGATGATGGTGGTGGAACCCACGACCTCCTGTATACCAGGCGAGGTAGTCAACATCTCCTTGCCACCATGATGATGATGGTGGTGGTGGAACCCACGACCTCCTGTAGACCAGGTGAGGTAGTCAACATCTAGCCACCGTGATGATGGTGGTGGTCGTGGAACCTACGACCTTCTGTGCACCAGGCGAGGTAGTGAACATCTCCTAGCCACCGTGATGATGGTGGTGGTGGTGGAACCCACGACCTCCTGTAGACCAGGCGAGGTAGTCAACATCTCCTAGCTACCGTGATGGTGATGATGGTGGTGGAACCCACGACCTCCTGTACACCAGGCGATGTAGTCAACATCTCCTAGCCACCGTGATGATGATGGTGGTGGAACCCACGACCTCCTGTACACCTGGCGAGGTAGTCAACATCTCCTAGCCACCGTGGTGATGATGATGGTGGTGGTGGAACCCACGACCTCCTGTACGCCACGCGAGGTAGTCAACATCTCCTAGCCACCGTGATGATGATGGTGGTGGTGGTGGTGGAACCCACGACCTCCTGTAGTCCAGGCGAGGTAGTCAACATCTCCTAGCTACCGTGATGATGATGATGGTGGTGGTGGTGGAACCCACGACCTCCTGTAGACCAGGCGAGGTAGTCAACATCCCCTGCCACCGTGATGATGATGGTGGTGGTGGTGCTGGTGGAACCCACGACCTCCTGTACACCAGGCGAGGTAGTCAACATCTCCTAGCCACCGTGATGATGATGGTGGTGGTGGTGGTGGAACCCACGACCTCCTGTATACCAGGCGAGGTAGTCAACATCTCCTAGCCACCGTGATGATGATGGTGGTGGTGGAACCCACGACCTCCTGTACACCAGGCGAGGTAGTCAACATCTCCTAGCCACCGTGATGATGATGGTGGTGGTGGTGGTGGAACCCACGACCTCCTGTAGACCAGGCGAGGTAGTCAACATCTCCTAGCCACCGTGATGATGATGGTGGTGGTGGTGGAACCCACGACCTCCTGTACACCAGGCGAGGTAGTCAACATCTCATAGCCACCGTGATGATGATGATGATGGTGGTGGTGGAACCCACGACCTCCTGTAGACCAGGCGAGGTAGTCAACATCTCATAGCCACCTTGATGCTGGTGGTGGAACCCACGACCTCCTGTACACCAGGCGTGGTAGTCAACATCTCCTAGCCACCGTGATGATGGTGGTGGAACCCACGACCTCATGTACACCAGGCGAGGTAGTCAACATCTCCTAGCCATCGTGATGATGAGGATAGTAGTGGAACCCACGACCTCCTGTACACCAGGCGAGGTAGTTAACATCTCCTAGCCACCGTGATGATGATGATGGTGGAACCCACAACCTCCTGTGCACCAGGCGAGGTAGTCAACATCTCCTAGCCACCATGATGATGATGGTGGTGGTGGAACCCACGACTTTCTGTACACCAGGCGAGGTAGTAATCTAGCCACCGTGATGATGATGATGGTGGTGGAACCCACGACCTCCTGTACACCAGGCGAGGTAGTCCACATCTCCTAGCCACCGTGATGATGATGGTCGTGGTGGTGGAACCCACGACTTTCTGTACACCAGGCGAGGTAGTAATCTAGCCACCATGGTGATGATGATGGTGGTGGAACCCACGACCGCCTGTACACCAGGCGAGGTAGTCCACATCTCCTAGCCACCGTGATGATGGTGGTGGTGGTGGAACCCACGACCTCCTGTACATCAGGCGAGGTAGTCAACATCTCCTAGCCACAGTGATGATGATGGTGGAACCCACGACTTTCTGTACACCAGGCGAGCGAGTTGTAGCCCCTGACAGACTGTAGCGGCAAGTGCTGTACACATACAAAGGCAAAGATCCCCCGTGTAGCCTCTAGCAGACTGTAGGGGCAAGTGCTGTACACTCACACACAAAGACAAAGATCCCCCGTGTAGCCTGTGACAGACTGTAGGGGCAAGTGCTGTTAGTAGCGAGTAGCGGTGTCTATGAACACACAAAGACAAAGATCCCCCGTGTAGCCTCTGACAGACTCTAGGGGCAAGTGCTGTACACTCACACACAAAGACAAAGATCCCCCGTGTAGCCTCTGACAGACTCTAGGGGCAAGTGCTGTTAGTAGCGAGTAGCGGTGTCTATGAACACACAAAGACAAAGATCCCCCGTGTAGCCTCTGACAGACTGTAGGGGCAAGTGCTGTATACTCACACACAAAGACAAAGATCCCCCGTGTAGCCTGTGACAGACTGTAGGGGCAAGTGCTGTTAGTAGCGAGTAGCGGTGTCTATGAACACACAAAGACAAAGATCCCCCGTGTAGCCTCTGACAGACTGTAGGGGCAAGTGCTGTACACTCACACACAAAGACAAAGATCCCCCGTGTAGCCTCTGACAGACTGTAGGGGCAAGTGCTGTTAGTAGCGAGTAGCGGTGTCTATGAACACACAAAGACAAAGATCCCCCGTGTAGCCTCTGACAGACTGTAGGGGCAAGTGCTGTATACTCACACACAAAGACAAAGATCCCCCGTGTAGCCTCTGACAGACTGTAGGGGCAAGTGCTGTTAGTAGCGAGTAGCGGTGTCTATGAACACACAAAGACAAATATCCCCCGTGTAGCCTCTGACAGACTGTAGGGGCAAGTGCTGTACACTCACACACAAAGACAAAGGTCCCCCGTGTAGCCTGTGACAGACTGTAGGGGCAAGTGCTGTACACTCACACACAAAGACAAAGATCCCCCGTGTAGCCTCTGACAGACTGTAGGGGCAAGTGCTGTACACTCACACACAAAGACAAAGGTCCCCCGTGTAGCCTGTG